CCCCTCTCTCTCTCTCTCTCTCTCTCTCTCTCTCTCTCTCTCTCTCTCTCTCTCTCTCGATTCTTCTCCCTCTCTCCAATTTCATGTGCCTTATTATCTGCATCAACCGCGCTAACCGGCAGACCAATGAAAAGACGTCTGTTGTGAGTGTAGGCGTGGGCCATCAACTAAATAGGTAGCGTCTGAACTGATCACCAGACATCGTGTGAAAATACCTCAGTCTTACGCATATAACCACCACATGAGATTTCCTGCTGCATTTTATGTGCTTGTGCTCATGGCTATAGTTGCGTGATGTGTCTCTTCAATAAACATGGACCGCGGTTACCGGCTGACCTGCGAGAACAGCTCGGTCTGATCGATACTTGACAAAATTAATGGCGTGCGTCTCTTTTATATTCCCTTTTTTCTGTGCCTCGCCTGCGTTTGGCTCCCTTGTTTCGCACAGCAACGTTTTGTGTGTGGTCTTGCCTTGGATTATTCTTCGCTGCGTGATGCTCTCTCTCGATGCGGCATGGTTTTGTTTTCTCGATGTTGTTGTGTGCATGCACCGCTGGGGCTCCGTTGTGTCACAACAATCAACTGGGTGCGCATACATCCTTCCTTAGCCGCGTGAAACGAGCCCGGCATTGCCCCTAATGGCCAGGCGTAGCTGATCGCCTCTTTTTTTGTGTCTCGTTCCGTGTGGTTACCCTTAAGGACATCGCCGAAGCGGTAGCGGTCAGTGATCTAGTGGCACCGGAGCACTTGGAGATCCAGACGGAGGACTCGCAGAAAGTGGCAGACAGGTGAAGGGTGTATACTTGTTTCGCTGTAGTGCCTCTGTCGTCGTCCCTAACGTCTGCTGCTATGCCTGCCTGATACTCTCCTCCCGTCTGACCATAGGCCTGATTTTTTCGGACGTCACCCCCGTGCTCCTCGGTGATTGTCCTTCAGGAGATGTAGCCTTGGACCCAGCCTGACACCAGAAGCAGCCCATTAGAACCGTGTTCTCCACTTCGTCTCGTGTCAATTGTTTTTGTTGTCGTTCCCATCGAGCGAAACTTCCCCTTGATCATGGACAAATTTTTCGCTGCGCAGCCACCACCACCCAACAAAGGCCCTTTCGACGTTTCCAAACGAAGAACTGCACCCCACGCTAAACCTGAATCATTTCCTCTCTCACCTCTCTCCTCTCTCTACTACCAATCTCCGATCTGATGATGACAGCGAAGCTATGGAACGAAGCTGCGTCCAATTGACAACCCACATCATCACCTTTCCTCCCCCGTCTCTCTAATACCGACCTAACGATCTGGTGATGACAATGATCTGATGGTGACATGACGGAAAAACCAAGCTGTCTCCACTACGGTGGCCTCTTCATCGGGCGACGGGCGGCCGAGGTGCTGGGCGACTACGGCGCGGGGCCGAACCACGTCCTGCCCACCGGCGGCACCGCCAGGTACACTGGAGGGCTGTCAGTCATGACCTTCCTACGCGTCAGGACGTGGATGCGAATCGACGAGGCGCAGCCGTCGCAGGCTCTTGTCCGGTGAGTTTCGGGGGGGCGACGGCGCAAAGCGTGGTGTGTTTGGGCAAATCGTCCTAGCCTCGCTTGTCCGGTGAGGTTTCACAAGCGGGGGGTGATTGGCGCATACTTGTCATCTCGTAGACCCTTGCCTCACCAGTGTTTCCAGCCGTAGCAGTCACTTGTCCGGTGCGTTCCCGCAAGCGGGGGGTGGGGGGGCAAAGCGTGATACGTTTGGGCAAAATGACCATATATGGATCCTAGCCTTGCATGTCCGGTGAGTCTTTGCAAGCGGGGGGTGTTTTGGGGCGGGAGGGGGCGAAACGGGGGTTGTTTGGCGCAAAATGATCATGTAGTAAGACCCTAGTCTCACGAGTGTCTTCAGCCATAGCAGGCGCTTGTCCGGTGCGTTTCGGGGGTAGGGGGGCAAAATGTGGTGGGTTGGGCGCAAAATTGTCGGGAAGTTAGGCCCTAGCCTGACGAGTGTTTCCAACCATATGCCCGTCACCGTTTGTTTCTGTTCCCTCCGCTGAACACTAGTGGTGCTGTAGTCGCAGATGCCCCTGCCGTACGTTCCGCTTGCACGGCCATCCTGCAGCTTTCGTGATCCTAGACAGCCCCTGTGACCATGTTGGTTTGTCGCTGTAGCTCTTGCTTTGACGTTCAAATCCATTTTTTTCGCTTACCCCTCGACACCCGCACCGATTCTGGAAGACGAGAGGAACCAGGTGTAGGTGGTCGCAGGCCACAGACCAAACACGAGGCATAACCTAGTCGGCGGAAAAAGTACGGCTTCCTCCTGCTCCTTCGAGCACCACGTCCTCTTTGGCCGCCAACGCGGATTCCTGTATCAAGCACGTCGCTCTCTATGTGTAGAGAGTCGGTCGCGCTGATGGATCTGGCCGATTGCGCCCTTCTTAAGACCTTGCTCCTCTTACGGAAATCGACGGTTTGATCCTGTGATTCGCCCCCCCCCCCATGCCACCCTCATCTGTATTGGCACGGCAAACGCATGTATGATGATCAGCTTCTGGTTCATCCTTCCGAAACGTGTCCTGGGCCGGCGAAATATCGCTCCGTCCCGGTATCATAGGGATGCAGGGTCTATAATGAATACGGCATGCATTTACATGAGCACGCCCCCCACCCCTCCCTTGTTCCTTGCCCTCTCCGGCCTATCGTCGGTGTTCTAGGGACGCGGTCCACCTTGCCAGGATGGAGGGGCTGGAGGGACATGCCCGAGCGGCCGAGTGCAGGCTAGACTAAGCCGGGACGCAACAGGATGCCCGATCGAGCGTTTGGGTTGTCCCTAGATTTGTCGCGAACACTCTTGCGTCGCGCCCCCAAGCGGTTGTCGTCGGCTTTTCTCGTTTCCTTTTTTTGGTTTGAACGTCATCGATTTTCCGACTGGCTGGCTGATCGGCACTGGTTGCGTGGTGTCATGTTTTCGGTGACTTTGATCGTTTTTTGCGGTTTTGGCGGTCGAACGAGACCTAAGCACAAAGGTGCTACAACAGTGACAGAGGTGCTAGCGCCAGGGACGGCGGTAGGGTTGCATAATCCTTCTTCTGCATTACCTTCTAGTTCCCGTTCGGGCTTCATGAAGTTCTTGTCCACAAGAAAACACGTCAAGACCAGCATTAGTTGCGCAACAATGCCTGATGTTAGGCGCGAGAAACGTCTGGGTTACATGGATCTTGGGAGAGACTCGTCTCTTCGGCCGATTGGAACAGACGCAAAGCGGCTTCGCTTGCCGCATACTGGAGATGGAGATGCTTCGCATGCGACGTATCCGGCACGAGAGATGGTTTGTCCTCACTCAGGGCGAGAAAAAGTGTCGCGTGGCGACCGCAAACAATTTCAGAATGTTCATCATGTGAACCCACGCTTTTGTGTTGTGTTGTCGTATTTGTCTTACGACCTTGTTCGGTGGAGAAATGTTCCAGAGCTCATGTTCAGTTGTAGTTGTGAAGGGCTATGAGAATCTGAATAATTCACCACGAGATTCGAACTCGGTGTTAAGTCCTCTCGCATTCTCCTCTGATGACAGATACACATGACCTCCTAGACAGACATATTCTACATGGATTATTTCTTCAGCTACAAACCCAGGAAATCTGCCACGCGTTCGAGGACGACTGTCTCGGCGACAAAAGGCTGTCCTTTTTCTAGTAGGGTCACCTCTCAACACGCGTTAGACTTATTTACCACGGCGGTAGATTGTGTGCGACGAGAGCGTTCACATGCATGCGCAGATTGACCTATTTTATGCGACTGCTGTGCGGACCGCCATCACAACGGGCATCTCACTTTACCCACGGCAGCAACTCTTTTCATCTGCTGGCTCCGGATGTACAATCATACGTTTTGCGGAACACGGACGTGGGCAATTGCTGTTTTCGGCTGCCTGCAAGCAAGGTACAACTTCATCGATTGCCCCCGAGAGCAGGTTTCTTTTGTTTATTCCCAACCCCCCTGTCCAACCGATATATTTTTTTGCCGGGTGGGTGATGGGAGAAGCCCAAGCGAGCGTGCTACTTGGATCCGAACGTACATGAAGCGGTATCGCCTTCGGTCCATCAGTCAGTATCAACCGCTCTTTCGGGGTGGCTTGAGAGCTTTCGTGACAAACCTATGTAAAGCGACAGGAGCGTGCTATACTACAAGCGGCCGTTGTGTATCCATATTCAGCAACAACCCTGTCCTCCGTTTCAGTCCAAAACTGAAATGGTGTGATCCCCCCACAGGCTTTCTTGCTCCCAATGATAACCACTTCCGGACAGGTCCATCTTCACATCGCGAAACACCGCCATAACTCCTTCTAAGTGAGATGCAAATATGGGAACACGAGAATACCTAAGATAGGACGGGCCATGCAGGACGTTCCGGCAAGTTCTTGGCCTGTGGTGTGGGCGGGATGATAAATCATCATGAAATGTAGGTCAATGATCTTTGATGTTGGTGTTTCCCCCCTCGATAAATGAAACGAATTGCCGTATGAATCATGCTGAGCTTGCTGGGCTTGAACGTATGCTAAAAAGTGACAGGGCAGTTAGATCAATAATATCCAGTCCATCAATCCACAGGGAGCTGATTGGCCAAGTCCCAAGAAGCACGCGGTGCAGGTCAACAAGTGCCGTTTCAGAATGACCACCCCCGTGGCAAGACGGCAAGACTGAGATTGTTGAGTAGCTTGGTGCGCCCGGCGCAGTTGTAGACGGCAAAAATAAAAGAACCGCGCGGCGAGTTTGCCGGCAACGATAAAATACAGTAAACTGCCCGCGGATGTGGTAACCCGCCGCATCTGTGATGTTCCGGAGCGTGATGGCTCTGATGTGTTGAAGCTGGTGCTGTGATAGCTGTTGTGATGGCGTGATAGCCTAGAGGCGTGACAGCCTGGCAGCGTGATAGCCGGTGGATATGTGTGGACACGGGCGTGATAGCCCAGAGCGTGATAGCCGGGAAAAAGAAGATGAAATTTATCCAAGTGCACGTGGTCAACACCGTTGCAGACACGTATACCCAGGAAACAACAATATGTGGCAAAGATGGTACCACCATTCCCCCAATATACCACAACTGCGGAACCCCAAAAGTTCCCCGCTCCATCTTCTCGGAACGTTCCTCGGTTGCAATAATCTGTCAATACTGTGAGTACATCCAACATGTCCAAATCGGTACTAGACTATATCCCCGGACAGACTGGTAGGGTTTAGGGCTGGTGACCAAACGTTACCCATTTGCAGCATCTGAGAATCATTGCATACAGCAATTACACCTGCATCTACTTACAACACACATCCTACAGCAGTATTGCTCTGCATTTCAACACACCCCCATTAGTGTGGGGTTCCCCTGGCAATTCGAGGTTGAGGTTCCCCAATGCATAGACTATTTTCCCTTACGCAGTGGCTGTTAAATACGAAATCGTATTCCCCATTTGTGTGGGGTTCCCCTCGCAATTCAAGGTTGAGGTTCCCTGATGCAGAAGTTCCCTTACGCAGTGGCTGTTGAATACGAAATCGTATCCCCATTTGTGTGGGGATCCCCTGGCAACTTTGGGTTGAGGTCCCCTAACGCAGCGGTTCTCTAACGATGGGGGCGGTGAGGTTTCCTGGTGCAGAGGTTTCCCTTGCTTTTTTCTGGGAAACGGTCCCCTCATGCAGAGGTTTCCTAATGCATTGCACCGCTTCGCGCGCTCGGTACGGCTGGTCCGGGATGTGAAGAAAAACCGGCAGAAGTACGAGGCCGAGGCTGCTGCAGGAGGCGGAGGAAGCAAGAAAAGCCTACGTGAAGGCGATGAAGGGGCGCTCTATCTAGCGAAAGCGAAGATGGCGATGATAGTAGCACATTCCGCTACGCGGGTGCGCCAGGCGGGCATGAGAGAATTTGTCGCGACGTAGCGAGGATGTGGGTACAGCTAGCTGACGATTGCTACGTCTATAAGAATGGACTTGGTGCAGAGTTCCTTTTCCTTCTCTCCTGCGTGCAAACCTGGGGGGATCACCAAATCCATCTCGTACAGCCCCTTTCCCCTACCAGTGCCTGTGGTAAAAGGGGAAGAATCCTCAACGGCGATGGGCATATGACACTCACGCAGTGTCTTGAGGATTACGCGAACCATCCTCTTATGGAGGAAGGTTGAGGCGGCGGTCTTGGTGCAGACGAGGGAGTGGGCTCAGCTCAAGCGGTCCTTGCATGGTAACAACGTACCTGCACCACAAATTTTGCCTGTGTCGCAGTCTGCTCGATCGTGACTCCCCAGTACACGACCGATTGACTCTCGATATAGATCAGGCAGCATTTTTTCATCTGCTGACAGCCCTTGCGTTGTCAACCACGACAAAACTCCCTTGCCTTTCGCTTCCTCCAAGCGGATCAATGCTCTCTTCTTTGACGTTTCCTCGCCTGCTACCTTCTGCAAGTCTGTCTCCACCATGTGACGCACTGCTGCATGAAAAGGTTTCGAAAGGAGAGCTTGGGCTCCAAAGACTTGGTAGTGTTGACCAAATTCATTTCGGTTGTAGATAGACGGTGGTTGATGTTCTGCGTCAGGGTTTACATCTTCACTGGGTTTTCCCGCCTTCCCTGCTTCCGACAGGTAAACTCCTTTGAGGGCGGGGGTTAACTCATCACTTGTGGCAAGTTTAGCCCATGACTGCCCAACAGCTTTTTCAAGTCTGTATTTGGTGATGATCTCCTCTAGCTTCTTGAGTGAGTCGATTAGAGCCAATCCCGTCGGTAGCTGGGCAAGCCGGGGTAGACATTGCTCAACTGTGTATCCTGTCGATGCTTGCACTGACTTGGAGAACACCAGCGCTTGCCCTGCCACAAAAGCCGATTCTCGAATGAGAACATTGCTCGTGATTCCTAGTCCTCCTTCTCGCATGGGTAGGTGCACCTGCGCCCGAGCTGTCCCTTTGAAGAAATCTACCTCCTCGCTCTTCGTCGGGTCTGCGCGTACCTCTTTGACCGTTGGTATTCTCATGCTGTCGGCCATCTTGCCAAGGACGATCTTACTCATTGCCCACATCATCATGTTGTCATGTATTTTTGCGGCAGAGTTGGTGATAGACGGTGCAATCGTCCCCAGCAGATGAAACAAACGTGGCACACCAGATCAACGCAGCAGTTGNTCTCATGCTGTCGGCCATCTTGCCAAGGACGATCTTGCTCATTGCCCACATCATCATGTTGTCATGTTTTCTAGCGGCAGAGTTGGTGATAGACGGTGCAATCGTCCCCAGCAGATGAAACAAACGTGGCACACCAGATCAACGTAGTAGTTGATAGCTGGCTTGAGGGTCGTCAAGCGTTACTAGGCGGAGTATCAATTCCGCCGGGTCACCACGGGCGAATGTGGAAATGAAATTCCTCTGGATGGAACTCTTCCGTCCCTACTGGGATCCCGACCACTGGCATGCCACCTTCAGCAACTGACAGACCAATTTTCGTCAATTGTTGCTGTTCGTCGTTTGTCAAAGNATCAATTCCGCCGGGTCACCACGGGCGAATGTGGAAATGAAATTCCTCTGGATGGAACTCTTCCGTCCCTACTGGGATCCCGACCACTGGCATGCCACCTTCAGCAACTGTGTGTGTGTGCTGTGTGTGTGCGCGCGGGGGGATGAACCGGCACTATTGAGGGTGACATTGGCGCCCAACCGGCACTATACCGGGCATGCTCACAATAGCGCCGGTATGGTACTACTGAGGGCTCTGCCTGTGTCCGGAGATTTTACCGGCACTTAACCGGGCACCTGGCACTATTCAACCGGCACTATAAAGGTCCCTCGACTGTACCGGTACGAGTTCCAGCGGTAATGCTCACCGGGGGATGTATTGAAGTCTTTCGAGGGTCGATTGAAACATATCGGAGACAAGGTCGTAGTTCTAGGAAGACGAAGGGCAGTAGCCGGCCTCGATACCCGCGTTATGCTCTCGTGGCTGTGCCGCGTGCTGTAGCTCTGCGCAGGTCATCTCGGCCTCGGTTTGAAACGATACTTTTGAAACCTCGCATGAACGGGTACATTGTGTGTTGCTTCTCGAGAGAGGTAGGGGGACACACACGAGAAGGCGCGTAAACGTTGACTTTTGTTTTGCTTGTGACCTCTTGCGTGCGCAGAAGCCAGTACGAGGATGTGAACAAACTCAAACTCGCATCTCAGATATTGCACAGACACTCACAAGACGACCAGGCAGGTCGTCATGAGTCACTCCGCAACAAGACACGACCTCCACAGTCAGTCCAAACGTCCCAACGGCCATTTTTGTACAATTTGATCCCTTCCTAGAGGACACCGTTGGGAGAGAACTGTTTCACTGTGATTGATGGAAGCGAAGCAAGGGCGCACCGGTGG